ATTCTACCAAGTATATATTTTATCTTTTTATAATAATCGTAATTATATCTATATAATTTTTTTACTATAATTTTAAAACAATCCAATTTATATCAATATTGAATATGTATACTGTGTTTTTTTGACAACCCGCATTGAGAGCAGTCGACTTAATAAAGTTATTATATATATTTAAACAACAATATAAATTTAACACTTTTCGACATTCCATCGAAATTTAATAAGATGTAGAATTCGATTCTTTATAGCTATTCGCCTCCATCGGTTCAATATATTCATGTCAATCAATGCATCCATGGAATATGAATACAATAATTATCCTAAAATTCATTTCATAATCCTTTTTAACAGTTAAACCTATTCGCGTGTAAATACATCATATTCAAACGCAATTATGTTTCGTCCGATTGATGTGTGACATTTCTATTACAGGCAACTTTCACTGAATCAGGTTTATCCTGAAAAAATTAAAAGTTACCATATCAATTTGACAATTTTGATTACAAAAAAAAAAATGAAAAAAATGGAAAAAATTAAAAAAATAAAGAAAAAAATTCTTGATTTGCAAAAAAAAATTGCAAAAAAACAAAAAAAAATAACAGAAATAGCAAGTAAATACAAATTTATTTTTGAATATTAAAAACAAAAGTGATTTAATTTTTTTTTAATAACTGTATAAAATAGTTGAATATTAGAAATATAAATAATAATAAAATATAAGCACCTAATAAGTAATAATATTAATATTTGTTATTTCACAGAGCAATTATTGATGTGATGTTTTCATAGTAACCATATGAAGATTTTAAAATCAATGTGGTCATGAACAAAGAGATTTTCATGACAAGAATGAACATAATTACTACTATTATAATTATGTTAATGTTATGTACATGATATATTTTGATTAAACTGTGATTTTTTAGTTGTGATTACAACACCATAAGGATTTGTTACTTTTTTTATTTTATTTTTTTGTTAATTTATGAGTAAATAAGTTATACTTTAAATTCTGTCTGAATTTTGTAAATAAATAAAATTATCAGTTACGGGACATTTTATTATATTTAACTAGCTGACCCGACAAACGTTGTTTTGTCATATAAATTATTTCTAGAGAATATTTTGCTAGAAAAAAATAACTAATTAAATATAGGCATGTAAGAATGTGGGTAAGGATAAGGATGTAAGGAAGAAATATGGAGTGCTATGAATGGTGACGAAATATAAAAATAAAAAAACATCAAACATTTATTTTTTTAATAATTTATTAAAATTGATCCATTAAAATTATATATATCGCTAATTATGACAATATTAGTAAAAAACAATATCTATCCCTTAATGCAACAGAGTGAACAATAGTTTTTGTTATCCCATCTTTCGCCACAAAAAACTGGATGGCTCGAGAGCACACCACGTATAATTATCCGTGGGAAAAATATGATGTACTCAAATCTAAGCTACAGACATTGTTTGGCTTTGAAACTTATTGATAGTCATTGCAAATGCCAATCTAATTGGAAATTTAAGGCATTTAAATTGTATTGGCACATCTGTGATTATAATAGAGATTCGTGGTAATAATATATTTTCACCTCGGAATTTGCCATTTAAAATTATGGCTTCGATAACATTTTTCATTAATTTTTTAACAACTTATCGCGTGCCGTTGTACAACCGTGGTAGGTCAAATTATGAAGCAAAATAACCGGAGGACAAACCTTTAATTGTAAATTATGCGGTGGCATGCCTGGTAAGTCCAATAAGTTTAAAAACTCTGTTAGATAATTTACAGCTTCAGTAGCATAGCAAACTATATCTATAGATATACACCATGTCTCCTGGTAATAAATGTTTATCTTGAGATTCGATTCATTGACGTCCACATTTTTTACTACTAAAATTGCCCTTTCTGCCAGCCACTCATGATTTGTGTATTGTCTGTGTACATTGGAAAATATCTAGTCAATAAGAGCATCTTGCGAATAAATGATTGTGCAGAAATCGGTCGGTAATTTTATACATTCCGTTTCATCTGTAGTAACTTTCCCATCTCCAATATCTAACAATTGTTTTGAGAATCTTCTGCACGCAGCTTTTTTTGATTAAATCGCAAGTATCAAAATCGTTCGCTCTCTATCTTTACATACATTTCGACCATGAATCAACCGATGAATCGATCATCAACCGATATACATAATAATTTTTCGAACTAACATTCTTATTTGTTTTGACACCTGTTGCGGGATCTTTTATTGTTTAATATTTAATAATTACTTATGATTGTAAAAATGATCATGTACATTTAAATTACTTTTAATTTTACATTAATGTTGGTTAAGAAAATAGTTGAGAATATTATTTTCATTGTGTCTAATACTTGGACCGAGTACATTACATTTGTCATCCAAAGTACATTGATCATTACACGAATAATTTAATGATAATAAGACGCGGCACGGGTACAAATTCTAGAAGTTCAGTCCCGATCAAAATTGAAAAACGGAATAATAACAATAGAATACAACGTAATGTTGCAAGATTGTGCATACCGCGTACATGTAGTTAATATAATAAACGACGAAAGGTTCGAATACAATATTTAATTTGGGTGACGGGTGCTTGGCGTGATATTCGGTGTTCGAAAGCTAAACCGCTCTATTTACGGCTGTGACAGAGAAGCATGGAAGTGTGATCGGCTCCAGTAAAACGTTATGAATCCGATAACGGTTTTGAATTAAAGTATTGACCACGAAGAATGAGATGGTTTTGGTAGATCCGATTCGGACGACCTATCAAATCAGTTACAAGTTTCAACTACCATTGTAAATTTGGTTGGTTTTGACTTTTTAACGTTGACGCATCCATGGTAATGGTCACACTGGATCCCTGAGATTTCATCGGACAATAGTCATCTAGGTTTAATTTTTCCTTCAGGAACGGTCTTTTTGCCGAAAGCCGGTGCATAGATCAGACGGACCAAACGTCAGCGTCGAAAATGTCTGGCAATGCGAGGGATTTTTCGTCCGAATAGATTCTTCGACGGTGTTCGGTCACATTTTAAATCCGTCTGTGTAATATTATATCGACGGGAACCGGGAAAGAAAAAAAAATCAGAAATTCCTGCATAGTTATCGCCCCGAAACCGTAAGTATATTGTGTTCTCCGATTCGGCTAAAAATAAACAATTTTTATTATTTTTTTTCCCCGACGGATAATTTTATCTTTCCGTGGACTTGGTACGTATCTAATTTTATTCAATTGCAACCCTTTCACTATGTCCATCATCCTGTCGTTAAACATTTTTTCACCGTTCTATCTGTACCCAAATATTGTATTTAATTGATTATACCGGTTTTAACAATGTTTCGAATCGAAATCGCTAAAAATACGGGCAAATTATTGAGTTATTAATAATTATTTACGATAAAAATATAACAGAAAATGCAATAGTCAAGCGTTGGTCGAAAGTTAAATATTCCATCTGATTAAAAATTATCTAATGGGCGATGACTCATGAGACACCAAAAAACACGTAGTTTCCTCTTGTACGATACGATAGTAATTTTAGTTACATTTCGGAATAAATACTTTCGAATTTTCAATACGGTATTGTAGTATAAAATTTCAGAACATATGCCGGATGATTTTTTTTTTTAATTATGAAAAATCGTTGTATTATCGAGTTATAGGAATCCGTGAGCCGGAATCTAATATCTCAAATTAATGATGATCTGGGAACGGATAATATTGTAAATACCTACATATTTTTAAAGAAATTTTATATTTTTCATCTGATAAAAACCTAAATGATTCCAAACGTTCTAAATCACTGGTTCCCAAATTGGGGGGCGTGTACACTGCCGGGAAGGAGCAAGCAGTTATTACGAAATACAATTTTTATTGATTTTTTTTTTATTTTATTTTTATTTTTATTTTTTGAACTTATTATATTTTAAAACTTGGAGAAAAAAAATTAACGCAACGTCAACCTAATCGTTTTATGTCACGTTATCTTTAAATTAATTGGTACGATAAAAGTATGTCGGGAGAAAATTTATTAGTAGAGTCCGGATTTATGTGCATTTGCATATTTGTACTAAGTGTATGCACGTCTATGGAGGTATAAAATGTCTATGATTCATATCACGCCGAATTTAAACCCCAAGTTTTATATTACATACTTGTTCATAAATGCATTTAATCGTTGATTATATAATAGATCTATTCTATAATCAACGATAAAACACACATATTTAATGGGTTTTTACCACTTGGCGTTCACAAAACTACTTCATTTTTTTTTATTAACAAATTATATGCATACTATACTTAGTACGATTAAAAGCCCATTAAAGATTATTAATAATGGTATCTTTAAACTTTATTTTTCGATATACAAATACCGCTAGACAATTGTTTTCCACCTATCTTGATTAATAGTAATTATAGTCGCATAACCAGTATTTAAATTGGTAAAAAAAAAATACAAAAAATAAAGTGAAATTTACCACAAACGTACCACAATCAATGAATCAGTTCTTCGTAAAAATAAAATTGAATTTCAAAACAAAATCCCTAGAATTGCTGAATTCATCATATTAGAGGTTGACCATATACCAGGGAATGGAACTTATTGGGTTTTTTTAGTTTCGGATTTGATCCCTGTATAATGTATACTTATCTAGAGTACATTTTAATTTAATATAACATATATTTTAATAATTTTCTCATCTCAATATTTAAAAAATAGAGCTCGCCAAATCGGCGTATTTATTGGCAACCGACAGCGGAAATGCATCAAATATGAAAAAAAACATCGACTCGCAGTTCTATTACATTTATTAAATTTATCTGTAATTATTTTATGCCCGTTATCAAGGAATAACGTAACGATTTTCAATGATTCATATTTCGCGTTTACCATATTAGGACAAAACAGATCAGATGAATCCAACATTCCAGCGCATCAGTCACCATTCGGCAATCAACCGTACTTGAAAATTAGGTACGTGAAAAGTATAATGGTATAATAAGTAACATATCGTCTGGAACGATCGCGGTCGATTGGATGGAAGATATTCAGTAAAACATTTGACCAACTACCTATATATCCATATATAGCTGCAGGACTCGTTATCGGCAGCTGCAAGAAAATTAAAAAAGGAAGTTGTAATCCAACATTACCGTACAAAAAATAGAACTAATACCTTGTTGATGAACAAATTACTAATACAAATCCAAACGCCGAAGAAATGAAGCATTTTATCAGCTGTCTGTTGCTTTGTGGCTATTATACTTTGGGCTCCGTTTGTGAAAACAGTGAGTCATCATATTTAATTACCGCAGGTCTTTTTTCACGAAGTTAAAATTAATAAGGGAATTGTACGTCCAACGTCTGGTACGTTTGTGTGACATACAATTAAAATTATATGTGGTATGCTCGATGCGTAATTAATGCCATGGTTAAAATCGATAAGCAAATAACATCACTGCAGTATAACGGGTACGTCATTTTGCAATATCGTTAATCTAAACGTTTTTTAGAAAAACATCGAAAATATAATTCCATTTTTTAACTCTATTATACATTGTGAACGAGAATAATTCTATGATTTTTCACGCTTCATGCCGACCGATATAATTATTTTTATATTTCGGGTTCTCCAGATTTCAATTTCATAACGTGTGAAATTGTGAAACGTCTACCAAGTAAAACTTTAACTCTTATTGCATATGTTAAATGCCATACTCCGTCTTTTAAACTTTTCATTTCAGTGGAAATTCTCTATTATAATTGTAATTCCAAAACCAGGCTAACCACCCGATTCACCTATATCTTACATACACATTAGGCTCCTTCCTTTTTTACAAAAGTCCTAGAAAAACTATTCCTCGAAATACTTAACTCAATAATATCTAACTCAGGAATCACCCCAAATACGCAATTCGGTTTCCTCGATCATCACTCTACAAATCATCAAATTAATCGTGTAATAAATACTATTTCATCCTTACTGAAAAAAAAAAATTGCACGACAGTCTTCTTCGATGACATCGTATTCAATCGAGTTGTTATACGCCGACTCATTTTATAAATTAAAAAAAAATTTTACCATCCACTTTTTTTTAAGATTTCATTTATACGTTGCTGAACGTCAATTTTCTGTTCGTTACCACTGAATTTTATCATCTATATCCACAATATACGCTAGAGTCCCACAAGTAATGCTAGCCGCTTCTCTTCTTTTTAACACTTTCATCGCTGACCAACCCATCTCCCCAAATACTATTGTAGCTGAGTATACCGAAAAAAAAACAATTTTTCCGTCTACAAAAATCCTCTCATGGCTAACCAAACATTGCACCTCGCCTAAAAAAAAAAAAAAAAAAAAAAAAAAACAATCGTACAAACTGCTACATATTACTATACAACTATATCTTATAACTCCTTAAAAATCACCTAAATGTCGTTACGAAAGATTTATCTACCTAGTTTTAATATTAACTTCTTAAATTAATAATTTAATTTAAATTTTTAAATTATCTCATTAAATTCTATTAATTTATATTAATACTAACCTATTCTCGACACTATGACGTGTTATTATAGTTTACCATTAGATTGTATGATCAGAGACTTTCCCCAAGTGTTTCTTATACCAGTGCATACCAACCATAGAGATATCAAGATCTTTATATGTTTACAATATACACAAAACCCTTAAGTTAAAAACATTAAGCTTAGAAAACGGTACAGTGCGATTTTGAATGGCGTTTTTAAAAAAAATTAAAAAAATACATGAAAACTGTACGTTTTACAATCATATTATTTTCAGTTACAGTTAATATCAACGGTCCAGATCAAATAGTTATTGGTCAAAATGTAAGTCTTAACTGCACCGTGAACATAGATGTTGACGTCAAATTTGATTGGAAAGTGCCCAACGAACAGCAACTTCAAGTATGCGTTTCACTACGTTATACGTGCATTAATTCATATTATACATTTGAGTTTAAACATATATATTCAATATTTAACAATTGTTTTCAATTAGAATGGACGGGTTGTCGAGAACCATTTCGTCAAAAATTTGGAAAATCTAACTGTTAGTGTGATAATTATTCAAAATGTTACTGCGGCAGATGAAGGCGAATACATATGCAATGTAACGTTGACGGATTCTGTACACAAAAATTACACGTTAAAAATATTTGGTAAGCTGTAAAAATATTCGATGTAACACAATATATATTATAGGTACTTTGTTTTCAATATGACTTCCAATATTTTGGACAATAGTTCAATTCTTCGAATTGTGTTGTTTGTATGGCTCTTGTATATACTAAACCACTGTTGTCTGTGATAGGGAACGTACACTGTCGATTTTCGTATGCAATCAGAATGATTTGTATGAAAACATTAAATATTTATTTACTATTTTTTTCACAATTAGGAGTTCTTCATTTAGCGGACGAACGACAGCTGACGCGTATTTTATGCATGTTTCAATTAAATACACATTCCGTAAACATTTTACACTTCCACAATGTAGGGACGTGTTATTAATGTATTTTCCTACACCATAGACACTTCATTTTTATTCAAATGAAATATATATACAACAAAATTGTTGTTAATCACTGTTTTCAAATATTTTACATGGAAAGAGAAAGAAAATTGAAATATCCCTAAAGAAAAACTGCCAATAAGTGAGTGGTAATCGCGGCTCACTTTTCACTTTATTGGTATTTCAATAACTAAATGCTTTATTCTCGCCCGACTTTATCACTAGATAATTGTTGCTGGTTCTTATTTACACTATTTACAAACAATATTTTTGCTTTGCAGATAAACCAGACTACATGCATAACCCATATATGTTTATATTTATTTGTTGCGCAATGTTGATCACAGCATTCTACACGATGTCGTTTTTTAACTTAAAACGGATATTGGTAAAACAGGCATTTATAATTTATATACCTATTCAATTATTAAATATTTTATACGCTTATCAAAATTTTTTATTAAAAATACTTAATATGTATACAGTATATGTGTATTACCCAGTTCAGGATCGACTCAGAAAGAAATTCGAGAATCGAAGAACAACTGGATCTACTTCCCGATGTGAAAATTTTTGAATTTTCTAAACTGCAACTGAAACTCGGTATTATAAATATGTACTCATGTTTGAGTTAATGACAACAAACAATAGTTATCTACCGCTTCATTTCTAATAATATTAATTTTTCGTTTATTTGTATTTTCGTAGGTAAAGAACTAGGTCTAGGAAAATTCGGTGTTGTTTGCAAAGCTGAGGCTATCGGTATGATTAACAATGTGACCACTACCACTGTTTGTGTGAAAATGGCAAAATCGAATACTGATCAAAAACATATAAATGCTATACGCTCTGAATTGGATATTATGATTCATATTGGAATGCACTTGAATATAGTCAACTTACTCGGAGCATATACGGGAAGCATAAACAAAAGTAATAAAAATAAAAAAAACTCGAAAATATTAATACATGGTTAAATAACATAAAAGTATTAACAAGGTATGTTAATACCTGTTTTATAGAATTGATGATGATCACTGAGTATTGTTGTTTCGGAAACATCCATTACTATTTATCAAGTCAAAGAAGCAGTTTTATTAGCCAAATTAATCCTAATGGAGATCTAGATTTTAATATTCATACATCATCAAGGTAATTCGAATTTAGAGCTAATTTTGGAGCCACGTTAAATAGTAGAAAAAAATGAAAGGATTGTTTTTAATTTTCATCAACTAGAAATCCTTATAGCTCAAATAATGCTGAAAACAAACATTTCATTGAAAAACACGACGAAGATAGTATACAAATTTTTGATGAAAATGAATACTTGATGCCCGGCGAAACAAAATGGTATCTGAATTACCGTGGGGATTTCGAGGAGTGTAATTATAAACCATCGTGCACCTATGACTTGGTGTGCTGGTCGTATCAAATAGCACAAGGATTAGAATATATTGCTAGCAAAAGAGTATGTCCACACAATGAAAAATTACTTCTACGTGAGATTAAATATTTTTATATTTATGTTCAAGGTATTTAATTTGAATTTAACAACAAAAAATATTCTACTAACCGAGGGGAATATCGTAAAAATATGTGATTTCGAATTTTTGAAAATGAACAGTCACGATGAAAATTACCAAATCTTGTCAACCGTATGATATTGTGTATTTTTAATTTTATTATTTTAACACTAATATAGGTGATTTTGAATTTCAGAGTGATTTGCCCAAAAAATGGTTGGCGATCGAATCACTTCGCGATAGAGTTTACCTAACTCAGTCACACATTTGGACATATGGAATCGTTTTGTGGGAAATATTCTCATTGGGTGCTACTCCTTATCCAAGTACATACATTTTATAATTTATTCATTCAATAGCACATTGGTGAGAATGGAATGTATTTATAATTTTTTTTCTTATACACTTCTAGATATAAGGGTAAAAGATTTATTAAATGCATTGGTCAAAGGTTACCGAATGGAGCAACCTCTATTTGCCAACAAACGAATGTAAAACATTTAAAAACGTATCTTTATTGAACGACTATAGTTATTATACTGCTCTAAAACTATAAACTCTGTTGTATATAGATTTCAAATAATGTTTAAATGTTGGGAAACCGATCCATCGAAGAGACCATCATTTAAAAATATAACTCATAGCCTGGAAAGTTTACTGAAACATATCACAATATCAGTGAGTAAAACTATTTAAATAGGTATATCTTTTATGTGCGGCCAAAAGAGTTAAGTCATGTTTCAATTTTTTGAGATAAGAAAAAAAATGATCATTTCATTACTTTGGAAAAAACTGAATTCAAAGTATATATGAGTTTAAAAGATGTATAAATAAGTTTATGTAAGTAACAACTAATTTAGGAAAATATTTAAAAGTTTTAGTAAATTCTACTGAAAAATCATTTATTTTGACTTAACACCCTTTGAACGCACACCAAAGGTTAATAATCTATTTACAAATCAAAATATTTCGAAAAAACCGGTACTTATAATATTATTGATATTTTATCCATAGTACCTGAGACATTTAAACGATACTTATATGAAACTGAATAACGAAAACACACCTTCAAAAGATTATTCCATTCTTATACCAGTTACATCGAAATTTTAGTAATTGAAACCCATTACAAAATACAGTGAAAATCCTACTGATAGTTTATCATACAAAATTTGTATGAAATGTATTAATTATTATTGGAATACTCGTAAATATGGGTTTAAACCCTCTCGAGATATAATATACTAGTAAGAGGACTATATTTATTATAAGATATGAGATAAATGCTTGATAATTAATATTAATTGTTTAATTAAATGTTTTTTTAATTATATTTGTTATTTTTCTATTGTTATTAATTGAAAAATATTGAATTTACTATAGTTTACTTAAGATATAAATGAGGATTAGCATAAATATACAAACATATTTTGTAATATCATTCATTTTTCTTAGTAACTAGGATAAAAATATAACGATTGATTAATTATAATGCTCGTAATATCGAAGTTTTTAGTCTTTCATCTCCTTGTAGCATTTCATTTGTATTGTGATCATGGCCATTGCGTTTGGGCACGTAATTTATTGGGCGAGGGGTGGGAGAAGAGTGATCCCTCAAAATTGTATTGTAGTAACCACGAATTAAATAGCCGGTATATATATCCCATTATTGCACATTATTTAAGCCCCAATAATTTTGAAAAAAGTTAATCACTACCCACCTCAGGAAAACTGAATTGCATGCGCAGTTTTTTCGTGATAAAATGGAGTTACGTGAGGGTATTTTTCGGAACAGGCCAAATTGCATGCGTAAAAGTTTGAACAGACAACAAGTTTTCGTCAACCTGCTCGTATTAGTAGTATGTATTATGTAGTACTATTATAAATATAACAAAAATAAGACACAAATTATTTTTGTAACTTTTTTGAAAATAATTATATTTTACAAAGCTGTAAATTTCTGCCGTCAGTATGGACCGAATTTTCGAACAGTTTAATGCATTCTACTAATGCTTGTGGATCGTTTCATTCAAATCTTAATAAAATATTCTACTCTTTGTATTCAAATATTTTCCAGATTTAGAAGTTTGAAAAATGTACAAACTGGCATTTATGTCAAAATACGTAGCTCAAATCTGACACAAAAATTACGTAAGGCAGTAGAAAAGGAAAATTATATCAGTGATATTATCCGTCAGCAGGGCCGTTCCAAAGATGAAAATCAAGAGGGGGTAAATAATATAAAAAATGCCGACTACAATTTTTTACTTAATGTATGTAGTATAAATATGTAGTCCAATTTTTACTTTTTAACATCTATATATGTATCAGTGTCGCACGTTCTTAAAATTTACAATTTAATTATATATATATAATGATATTTTATATTGTATAATAAGTAGTTATATAAATTTTATTCGTGGGTACACTGTAATAAAAAATATGTAATATTTGTTTTCGGTAAGTAAAATTAGGTCCTAGGCTATAATAAAACAAGTCCGACTGCCGACTGGTGTTTTCGTTGGGGGTGAGACACCCCCCCCCAAGACCCCCCTTCGGGATAGCCACAGGGTCGGTATGAAGATAAAATTATAACACTTTTGGATGTCGTAGAAAAATTAGCTAACAAAAATTTGCCAGTTTAATTTATTTATATAATAATTTTCGTAAAGGTTTTTTCAATTGACTTTTTAACTTTTTTTTAAAGTTAGAAAAATTTATAAATTTTTTTTATTTTAATTCTTTACACTTGATATGTATTATTATAATACACAATGTTTTTTTTTCTATTGAAAACAATTTATTTTAAAATTCTGTGCATGTAACTTAACTCTGTCGCGAAAAAACCACGCACGAAATTTGAGCTAGGTAATGAATTTCGCACGCAATTCGGAAACACTGACTAAATGGTATATGAGAGTAAAATTTAAACACATCAGCCAAACATCGATCATCCGCTGGTGATAATTTTTTTATTTAAACAAGTAAGATATTTTCAAAAGCAAAATAAAAATAAAAAAATTTAAAAAAAAACAAGTAATATACAATCTTATTTACACAATAATCTAAAAGTAAAATGACACTCATTAACGATGCTTTTATTGAGGAGCTTAAATATGCATGTTAGTTGTGTAAAATATCACGACACCAATTACGCTTAAATCGCCTTGGAGCATTAATGGATAGTAATCATAGGCGTGCGCAAGAATTTTCTATGCATTGTGTCATAAGAAAATTTGGTCACTTTCCTTTATACGAGCCTTATCAAATCTCACCACACCCACCCTCTTTAAAAAAAAAGGATAAATTTGAGTTAACCCATGGGTCAAAATTTTGCCATTTTTATGGAGACGCTAATTTATTTTAACTTATTTTTACTATTTGTAGCTTAAAATTTAAACAATGTCCCCGAATGAATAAAAGTCATAAAAACAGCACACAACACATCCTGTGCGCACGCCTATGGTAGTAATTATAAATAAATTATTGAAATATGGCATTCGCATGGATAAAAAATGATTATTAATTAATACCTTGCCCGTCATAGAACACAGTTACATATTACGTATTTTTAGTGCCTATACAATGCGCCGCCTCCGTCTTTGATGATTTGCTCGAACTTTGTCAAAACTGCGAGAATCGTACAACTCTGAGAATTGTTGGCAGTAAATACTCGTAAACTTAAACCATTATCTAAGTCGAACAAACAAAAAGTAAAATTACAAAAAAAAAGATATGCTTTTCCAATAATTTTGAAATATATACCGGACAAGAAAATAACGGCATTTATAGATTATCACATAAATCAGATTTAGGAGCTACTGCTAAGGTTGTAGTTAGAATATGTCGCGTAGTTCCAAAAAAAGAAAATTTCAAAATATATTTGATAATTTCTATATGACAATTCTTTTAATGGTTCATTAAAAATAAGAGATTAAATTGTCATTGGGTACGGCTCGACGAAATAGACTCTGTAATGTAATCAGGTGCGAATTATTTTTCGAAGGGGATCAGTATTTTTACTACCATATATTGCAAATGTAATTATTGTGCAAAATTATAATTTTGGTAATGATTAATTTTATAGCACAAGATAGATCGACAACGGATATTATGAATAACTGTGGTAAATGCTTAAATAATATCATAAACTAAAATTGTATAAAAAATATTAAGCAATGCTTTTTTTCTAATTTCATCAAAACATGGGAGGTGAACATCCGCTTTGGGCATGCCTCTGTTTATAATGTTAAATTATGACAATAAAAAGCAATGCTACAGAAACTAAGAGGTTAATTTGATAGTTGTTCGACAACACCACAAAAATCAGAAGAAGTTGTAGTAAATTGACGAGACAATGTAGTTAAACTACTATCGACATTTGTGAACAAAGATTCAGTAAGAAGAGTCAAAACCCGAAATGAAAACAGTTGAGGTCGATTTTCTCAACATCGTAAAAATATATGATAAACATACGAGATGGGTAGATCTACTCAACAGTTATTAGGCAGGTACAAAATCAAAATGAGAATAAGAAAATGTTACTTGCGATTATTTTACCATAGTGCACCTTTTAATTGTCACTTTTAGTTGTAGACTCTTGGTTACTACGTAAGCGAATTGTTGCTCAAGCAAATAAAACCCGTGTATTTTCACTTCAAAAATATAATATAAAAATAATAAATCTCTAGCAAATTTTCGGGAAAAGGAGATAACCCTTCGCCTTAGTGGTCATGCGGTAACACCAAAACATGGTCGCCCGAATAGTTTAGAAAGTGTCGTCAAGGTAAAAACGATTCAACCTAAATTAAGGTTAAGTTAGTTGTTTATTACTTTTAATTTGGAAAAGCTTCGTTCACCTGATGCGACCGATACAGGTATTGTTGAAGCAATTCGGAGTGCTACAGCGACGTTTAATATAAAATTGTTAATGTTCAAAATAAGCTGTAACACTTCCAATAGAAATATAAATCGAATAAATCGATTTGATGCATTCGAAATTTGCCGCCCTAGGCGGCTGCCTATTTTGCTACCGGCCCTGTATTTTATGTTGTCTGTGCTTAGTGCTATAGCAAACATTACAGGTGATATTAAAAATCGTTGATTTTCCTGAAATTTTGGAGGCGGGGAGGCTAATAGATAAAATTAATCAACACCCATAAGTTTTCTCGATAATACTCCAATATTTCCTCAGCTTTTCTAAATTTAAGAGAAATATGCTTTAATTTTCACTTCGATGTTTATAATCGGTATTTGTTGTGTGGTTTTAATGTAATCTATAACATTTCCTATATACTTTCGATTTGAAATTTAGGATTTTTTTCATAGGCTACTATTTGCTGTGTTTAAAAATTACCTTTTTCATTTTTACTGGAGAGGAACAACGATTTTACTTAGATATAAAAATGAATGTTATCGGTGCAGAAAAATGTATAATATACTTGTTTGAAACACTAACTGAATGAACAACCAATCGAAAAATAAACAACATAATATGTTAATGTCTTATATGCTTATTATAATGGTTTTAGATAGACGTTTAAGAATCAAAGACCCACCCCAACCTACTGTAGACCACAATGTTCGGTATTGGTTCTATAAACAAATTAAAAGTGTAAATGTATTTAAATATTAAAAATAAAAATAAATAATAATAATAATTTTATGTAAATCTGAAATTCTACGTATTTAGGTATACAAAGTTTATTATAATATCCTAGGACAACCAAAATAACGTTGTCAAGGAATTGTTAATATTGACTTTAATACATCGATTAAGAAACGTTAGTTTTCATTTGGTATTCGTCCACGTTATTTTATAAAAATCGCAAATTGTTCGTGGTATTCATTTTCTAAAGATGTCAGTAACTAGTGGTAAGACTTCGGAAGACACCTTAATCAGATACTAATTCGGTCGTTCACGCCTGAACTATTCAAAACAACGGCAATGCCTATAGTAGGTATGCAATTATGTTTCTTTTTTCCAGGAAAAAGGAAACAAGAGGATTTCGACTTGACCATTGGAGAACGTCAAGTTAAAAGGTTATGCACCGCCGACTGTTGGACGGAGACAATGGTCGTCGATCGGCTAACCGAACGATTTAAGTAAGTAAACGTGTTCAGTAAAGCAGTAAAATCGTGATGGATGAGGTACTTGTATCATATAAAATGTGTTTTTTTTCTTTTATAAATCTTTATCGATTCTACCAAGTATATATTTTATCTTTTTATAATAATCGTAATTATATCTATATAATTTTTTACTATAATTTTAAAACAATCCAATTTATATCAATATTGAATATGTATACTGTGTTTTTTGACAACCCGCATTGAGAGCAGTCGACTTAATAAAGTTATTATATATATTTAAACAACAATATAAATTTAACACTTTTCGACATTCCATCGAAATTTAATAAGATGTAGAATTCGATTCTTTATAGCTATTCGCCTCCATCGGTTCAATATATTCATGTCAATCGATGCATCCATGGAATATGAATACAATAATTATCCTAAAATTCATTTCATAATCCTTTTTAACAGTTAAACCTATTCGCGTGTAAATACATCATATTCAAACGCAATTATGTTTCGTCCGATTGATGTGTGACATTTCTATTACAGGCAACTTTCACTGAATCAGGTTTATCCTGAAAAAATTAAAAGTTACCATATCAATTTGACAATTTTGATTACAAAAAAAAAAATGAAAAAAATGGAAAAAATTAAAAAAATAAAGAAAAAAATTCTTGATTTGCAAAAAAAAATTGCAAAAAAACAAAAAAAAATAACAGAAATAGCAAGTAAATACAAATTTATTTTTGAATATTAAAAACAAAAGTGATTTAATTTTTTTTTAATAACTGTATAAAATAGTTGAATATTAGAAATATAAATAATAATAAAATATAAGTACCTAATAAGTAATAATATTAATATTTGTTATTTCACAGAGCAATTATTGATGTGATGTTTTCATAGTAACCATATGAAGATTTTAAAATCAATGTGGTCATGAACAAAGAGATTTTCATGACAAGAATGAACATAATTACTACTATTATAATTATGTTAATGTTATGTACATGATATATTTTGATTAAACTGTGATTTTTTAGTTGTGATTACAACACCATAAGGATTTGTTACTTTTTTATTTTATTTTTTTGTTAATTTTTGAGTAAATAAGTTATACTTTAAATTCTGTCTGAATTTTGTAAATAAATAAAATTTTAACTTACGGGACATTTTATTATATTTAATTTACAAAAAAAAAAATGATTATATAAAACGATTGATATGAAAAATCAACAAAATATATCGTTGCAATAATTTCTATACGATCACCCCTAAACACATTTTTTGGTAACTATTTTTTGTGCAAGTGAGGTAGTACAGTTAAATGAACTTTTAGGATATATTCTTTATTTAAATAACATTGATGTTAGGACAATCAAATCTACACTGATACAACACTGATACAAATCTACACAAATAGTTTTTTTTAATATTCAATACCGCAAATCATATAGTAATTCAACATTCTCCATCTCTGATGCATATAGAGGTAAAAAGCTCTAATTTGGGAAAAATCTGGTAAAAATTCGGTTCCGGTTCCCAATATTTTAAGGGTTCTTGGGTTCCAGAACCGGTTCTTTTGAATTCGGTTCCAGCCCCTGCATTAAAGTATAGTTTACATATAAATTTTATGTATACATCAATCTTAAAGTAGTGAAGGGGTGGGGCGTGAACTCATAAAATAGTTTTAAAGAGGGCTCGGACCTCAAAAGGTTGAGAACACATGAATTAAAGAAAAAATGTAAGTCCCCCTCCCCCGCCTAGAAGTAAGTCTAAATACGCCATTGGACCAGCGTGGCAACATTGCGGAGAGAATATTCTGTGTGTGAATATTCTCGCCGCGGCGACACTGCGCGTGCCGTGTTCGAATGTTGATAGTGCAGTTTCAAAAACCCGTCGTTGAACATTTTCAACGTATTATCATCATTGAACTATATGATAATATCATTTAGTTCAATGATTATCATACTGTCGAACCACGCAAAAACCGATAGTCCCTATCAGATTAGGCGCACTGCACTCGGTCTCGGAAACGAAACGGAAAACCAACGCGAGAACGTGCGAGTCCTCTGACTTGTCGCGGACGTTTTGCCGACCTTGTTCGCAGTTTCCATTCATCCGATCCGAACAAGTAAGCATTATTCGCGTACACACGATCGATTCCCGTAACTGATACGCTAGACGAAATGTCCCTCGCCCAGATTCTACGCAACGCTTTTCAGTAAGTTTGTAATTGTTGGTTTGCTGTCCGCCGTGGCGACAAGATGTTCACAATAGGCACATGCTTTTAGGAAATTTGCCGGTGCTACTCCTCGAGTGCCCTCTTCGTCTTCCGGTTTCTTAGCGCCGTCAAACTCGTGGTCCGTGGACTTGATTCGCACGAAAACGCGTTATCATTTTCCCCGGCCCAGCGAAAAGAAACGTATTAAAAAACATGGCTGGTGGACGAGGATGGCCACATTGGCGGGAAGGAGAACGCTGCAGCGCAGAATACTCAAAGGCCGATACGTCCTGAGCCATTGATTTTATTTCGTTGCTCATGTCTCTTTGTATAATAAATATAACTATAAAAAACATTAGTGTTCGTGCAGCATCTTGTGCTCATTATATGTGTATCTTGTAGACTAATAAAAGAATATTTTTTAATCACTCATAGTTATTTGCTTTACACTTGGAATATCTGTAATACTCCAATGTCGTTTATCGTTTTTATGTTAGTGATGTTGAAATCTTATGGACTTCGGCCGTTAAGCTTGATCCGTAGTTTTAGTGAAGTTAGCCAAATTAAACGAAAACAAAATCGAAATTTCAATTTTTACATGCCCATACTTTCAGAAGACCAGAAGCGGGTAATTTATAATCAAATGACATTTCCCCTATTATATCTAATTGGATAAATATTTGTAGTCTGTTGAAAAGATAGTTTCTCTACAAATATCAGGTCGGTATATGATCTGTACGACAATACTTCGAAAGGACAATATCCTTCATAGTTGGAAACTACTATCTATGCCAGAAGATATGAATAAATTTCATTTAGACGACGTCTATAATTGTGTAAGTAATATTATTTCTTAATTCAGTTATTTCCATAGTGCAAATTGTTGTTTATATTCAGGTAGCTACTCTCATGAAAGACTTACCAGAAAGCGATGTTTACTTAGTTGAAAACTACATGAAAATGCCCAACAATGTGAATGTTGCTGGAGCACATTTATTTTATGTAAAACTGCAAATACTTGCTATGTTAATTGCCCTTATCAATAACAAAAATCAAATTGAAAATCCTTCAATAGAAAATAGTAAATTTTATCATTACTTGATTCTACTTTGAAATATATATTAAAATGTTAAATGTATAAATATTTTTTTATACATAGAAAAAACCACAAACAAAGTGATACTGATGAGAGCACGTGTGCACGCAAGATTGTTTCGCATTGTTGTTGGCACAGAAATCATATCTTCACAAGATATAACTGCATTGATGTTGAAGGGCAACTTCCCTGAACATGTGACACCTGTTGTTCCTACAATTGATGCTATTTTGTCTTATAGATCGATTCAAGAACCAATACTAAGAGAACTCATGTCCAATGGTCTCATGTTAGCCATGGCTTTTGTTGATCTTGTTTTAAATTCAAATCCAAAAAGTATTCGAGCACTAAATGAGGGCTCCAGAAGAAAACTAAAATCTTAGAGTAATTAATGATATTATTCATGTTAGAAACCTTTTTTTTATTATTAAAATAAAATCACATACAATTTGACTAGACTAAATCATTTATAAATAAATATGTAAATTAAAATAATAATAGTAATACTAATTAATACATTTATGTTCTTAAAAAATTAAGTATGAAATGAATATACTATATATTTAGAATGAAAGATTAACAAATGAGTAAACAAGTAATGTTGTAACAAATTAAAAGTAACAAGTAATTATAATATGAATAAAATAAAATCACGCAGAAATAAATAACTAATAAATAATTCATAATAATAATATAGTAGAAGAATTTAAAAATGTATAATATAATTAAAACTGATAAATAATAATTAAAAATATTAATAGTTTAAAATATTAGTAATCAAAATTTTGATATAATTCAAAAATTCAATAGGTTTTTTTAATATTTTTACCTCCATCTAATTTTATCTGAAATTGTTCATATTTATTTGATTTAGTGTTTCGTGTTTTTTTTTTAAATGCCGATTCAAATCATTTTTTTGTTGATATTTTTTATGACACATAGAGCAATTATAAGGCTTTTCACCTGTATGTACTCGCATGTGAATACGAACTTTTTCTGGCCGACTAAATTTACGCAGGCAAACTTCACAACTGTATTTTTTTTCCGAATGTACAACTTCATGTTGACGTAAAGTAGACAAACATTTGAATGAAGAACCACAGTTTATACATCCATACGGCCTTTCACCAGTATGCTGGCGCTGATGAACATTCAACTGTGATTTGTTTGGCAATAATTTTCCACACGTCTCGCATATCAAACATGCAAAATGACTTCGTTCGTGCATTCGTCTAGATGTTTCACGAGTGTAAATCTTGCTACAGTAACGACAGTTAAAAGAAATAGAACTATTAGGAAGATTGTATGCTAGTGCCCATTCAACAATACGCGGCAGGTCATGAGTTTTTATGTGGCGTACAAGATTCCCTAAACTGTTAAAACACATCAAACATAAATCGCATTTATAGTACGGACATTCCGGAAGGAAATGTAATTTAACATGACTTTCAAACTCCAATAAATTGGAACAACGACGGAAACAATGATGGCAGTCCAATTCTTTCAAATTATGGTTCAACAAAATATGATGTCTCAAATCTGTACCTACATACCAAAATAAATTACAAAATGTCTAATATTAGAAATAATAGTCGTTATTAACCAAATCAATCCAAATTAATTAAGTAAATATCTAATTTCTAACCACTAGTGAAAATATTTGTGCAGCGTAAACATTGTGTCTGATTTGAATTTATAAAATTGTCTTTACTTATAAGTATGTTTTTTTCATCATTTTTTTCTCTGTTAAAATTATTACCAAACTTATTTTCTTTGTTATTAATATCCTAAAAATCCAAACTTTAAGTTAAATGTCTCATATTAGTATTTAATATGGACTAACCTCAATATTTAATTCACTATTTCCCAAACTAATGTTTTCTTGAAAGGCTTCAGTGATTTCAGAGGTAATTTCTATTGGATCAGTTTCAGTCTATAAAATAAAATAATGTATTTATACAATTTCAAATTAAATAAATTCCAAAAACATATTATGCAAGAAAGATGATAAATTATTTTTTTCTAAAATTTCCACAAATTATAAAATATTGAAGTTTCTTATTGTTATTATTAATAATATTATTATTATTTTTTTTTTTTTTAATAAAACTTGTATAGATATTATTGCAAAAAATATTTTAACAATAAACAAAACTCCAAAGAAGTAATGTACTTAAATGCTAGAGTATGTTAAGTGTTTTAAATCACTTATTTCTGCAATTTATTAAATAGCTTTACTTTGATAATATCCTTTGTCATGTCTCCAATAATCATCAACATTAGATTTGTAGTATTATGACAAAATTCAAATATAGGATACACATCTTTTATTTGATTACTACAATTATGACAAATTTTCATTGAAAGCTTATCTGTAGGAGATACCTAAACAATTAATTTAATTTATATTTATTAATTTTATATATCTTACAAAATTATATTTTATGAGATTAATGGTTTTTATAAATTGTACCTGTAGCGTGTTGTCGATTCTTAATTTGTTGAAACTTATAAATTATGTTAAAGTTAATTAAATACAACTAATTAAGTTTCATTTTAAATTTACCATAAATAAAGAATCTAAGTAGGTAATAACTGAATTAACATATATTCAAATACAAAATTAAATAATTTTCCAAGTATTTAAAAAACATTAAGTTAATCAATTTCAATTAATGAAAATGCATAGAATTTGTTTCTTAGTTGAAAGAAATTAATTCAATAATATTATAGACAGTTAAATTGGGAAATTTGAATTATATAAATATTTATTATAATATTAAGTTAATTTATTTTAATAATGAACACACTGTAGATGTATTCAACTCTAAATTACAAATTTAGACACAAAATAGTTTTTTTTAGTAATTTTAATTGAAAATAGTTACTTGAAGTAATAAAAATGAGTTTATCTTATCAGCTAAGCAAACATAATTTTCATCATATTGGCCAAATATATCCATCATTCCAGGATCTCCACAAATACGACAAAGTTGTAACATCCGTTTTTGAAAAGTCTAAAAATTATTGAATCAAAACTGTATAAAATATATTTAGTTATAATTCAAGTATAAAATGTAATAAAACATTTCAATTATTAAATATAATAGATAAGTTTGTTCTGATTAGAAGCTGTCATAAATTATGTATTAAAAATGTTTTCATGAATAAAATAATTCAAAATATTCTTATATATATATATATATATTTTTTTTTATTTAATTTATTTTTATTCAAATAGGTTAGTTTAAAAGAAATACATAGAAAATACTGTCCAAAAAATTATAATTGAACATCTTTTAATATATTCCATTCTTAATAGACATAGACCTATAAACAAGTAGATTAAGAGTAGGTTAGGTTTTAAGTATTAGGTTTTTAGGTCTATGTTAATTTATAGGTACCTATTAATAAACATTAGTTAAATTACATCATCTTTCATTTTCAGCAGTTTGATCATCAATTCATTTGTGTGAATTCCTTTCTCAACTATTTGGCTCATTGTAATAATTTGACCAACACAAGCCTCGCATATTACTGTTGAAAGGCGGTCACTAAGTGTTGTCTATAGTTCACAGGTGAAAAATATAATAATTATTTTTAAACAAAATCAAAACTGTGTATACTTACATGTATTGGTAATAATGTGTTTATCTTTTCAGATAAATCTAACGACTGTCCCATTGATCCAAATATGTGAATAGAACCCACATCACCACATATACGGCAAAGTTTTCGAATCCTATCGTTGAAAGACATCTATAAAATAAATTATTATACTTATACAAGTTAAATATTAAAATTCATTATTGTATTTTAAAAATATAATATAAATGTACAACAATTAATTTAAGATTTTAAATTATAGGACCATTAATAATTTATTTTCTCAAATGTTTTACGGATTTTATAATTAATTATTTAAGATTAATTAAATCTACAAAAAAATATAGTCCATATTATAAATTTTAATCAAAAATTCAAAAAATAAATAAATCTTTATATTTTAAAAAATTCTAACTTTGATTTTCTAAACATTTTGCCTTATTTTTTATGGATTTACAAGGGTTTTTCTGAAAAATAAACTATAAACGATATTTATAAATAGTTGAAAAATCTAAGTTAGGTCAACGGTGTACGTCATCATTTATTACTAAGCAGTGATATGCAGAAAAGTAAAAATAATCAAAAAAACAGGAAAAAAGCATTTTTATAAAAAATTGTTAAAAATAGCAAAAAAAAAAAAGTACATTCAAATTTCATAATTGAACGTGTTATAACATGACACACACTTATCATTCCATATCACTTTGTTATATTTTATGTCAAATCGTAAAAATAAGCAAATGCTATAAGCTCCGAGCCCTATTCTGCATATGATCATAGGCGCTACAATTGTAGCGATAATTAATTATCCACCCTAAGGTGATCCGTGAAGAGCAAACAACCTACAACAGTGGTTCCCAACCTTTTTCATCCTATGCCCCTGCTAAATTTTAAAAAATCTCATTCCTTCCTTATATTAGTGTTTAGGCGATTTTTTAGTCGTGCGAATAAAACTTTATACTTATCAATATTAGATTAAATGCGAAAAGGTCTATCTGCTAACATTATAAAATATAATTGTTATTGATGCGGAATAATCTGAAAATATATAGTAATTTTTATTTTACACATTGTAAATGTAAAATAACAATTATTTTTGTAATTTTATCATCACTTTATTCCCCTCCGAGCCATATTTAAATCCCCCCGGGTTGGGAACCACTGCCCTACAATTAATTAGCACAAAATGTTTTAATTTTACCATTTAATTATAAATGTAGCAATTTTCTATGTTATAACTAAATATTATTAATTAACATCATTATTTTTTTATCAATAAACGATCAAACCTGTAGACGGTAAACAAAACCAAAATCCTAAATGGTATTCCAACCATAAACTTGACCATCATTACAGTATCACATGCATAGGTAACATAAACACAAATACCATATGTATGTACATTGTACGATCGTGACATTAATGCATTATCAATGCAAATTGGAGTTTACTCATTCTTATTTCTTATAAATGCAAAATAATCCTCTTTAAACAATATTTTTACCTCAAAATAAACTGGAGGTACTAATTTAGAACTTGGGAGTGTTAAGCACCCCCGTATTTGAATATAAATATATTTTTATCGTGGCTATTCTACTGTTTTATAATATATCATGCAATAAAATATACTATATTTCTATGAACTCATATATATATACATATATAATATTTGCATTTATTACATTTTTATAATCATATGAAATTTAATTAAAATGGGTGTTGTTGAGAGAGAACGAGAACAAAAAACTACCAAAAGAAAACAAGTACCTAAATATTTCTACCTTTTTTAACAAGAAACATATATCAGAATTTATAAATTAAACAATAAACAATAATGTATTCTCCAATTCCGTTCATTTCTTAATTATCAAAAAATCACTGCATTTCAAAAAATTGTATTTTAGAACCTTTAACATTTATTGAAAATATTGGATATTATGTTAATTCGACATCAATAAATCATAATTCAAAATATAGTATAATTAAAAAAGTAAAGCTAAACCATTCAATCTCTTAACACATTCGTGATCTCAACCATTATTTTAACCTATAACATTTAAGTGAAAAGATAGAGGGAGTATGATTATACATATATATTATATGTATGCATAGGCGTGCGCACAGGGGCAGCAAGGTGTGCTCTTGCTGCCCCTAGATGATTTAAATATATTTGTAAGGGCCGAACTGGTTCAAGCTGGGCCGCCAAACCGGTAATGCTCAATACAAAATAAGTTGGTTATCCAAAAAGTGTGTTGCTACCAAGCTAATCTTTTATGTGTTTAAAGTTTAAATATGCTTTGAAGCTTAAATTTGAGCTTAAAAATGTTAATACTTAACACTCATGTATGGGACGGTAAAAATATTCGCTGCCCCCGACTTGAAACTCTGCGCACGCCTACGTATGTATGTATACAATTGAATTGGTTATTTGGAAAAGAGAATATGTCCAGAAATTCTAATTTTACAGGAGAAACAAAAAATTAATTTTCTCAACAATGATCGATTTTTCGAGGCTTCAAAATTTATATTAATATTCAAAATGTAGCATCTTATATACCTACATTAGAACCAAATTTTTTTCAAAATCCATAAAGTGATAAAAAAAAAAAAAAGTTGACATGTTACCTTTTCCAAATAAATAAATTGATTTTTGATATTTCGTTGGTTATTAAATTTTTTTTTTATTTATTTAATATTAAGATAACTCTTGAAAACAAAATATAATCATAAGTGATGGTTATAGTTATAATATATTGACAAATTATAATACAGTACTTTATTAATCAAATAAGGTATCAAAAAAAAAAAATAATAATAATAATATATTGTTTTATTATAATATGAACAAACTTAAAATTTTAATAATCTTCTTCGTGATGCTCTTGTGCTTTAGTAATGGGCCAATGCATTATTTTATCATATAATGACATTTTATCAGCAGGTATATGACATAGGAGACTTTTTATATTATCCATTTTCTTGTAATTTATTGGTAACTTTTGGTCGTATGCTTTAAAATCTATGATGTTCGGCAAATCTGAACGAAACTGTCGAGGTTTTGCAAGTGAAAAACGTTCGCTTATAAAGTTATCGATGTAGGAATGAAAAAGTAAAATACCTGGTTCAGACGAATCATAAATAAAATGAAAATAATCGGTGATTTTAAGTGTGACTTTTTGTGCTTTTGGTACTTTTTTTCCATAACTTGTTATTGAAAGCACATTTTTCTTATAAAAATCTGGCCACCACTTTTTGTAATCAATAATTTCGTCTGTTTTGACTTTTTGCCTGTTAAACCAGGCCGTCTTTCAGTCAATTCTTTACCAACATGATTTGTGTGTGGTAAGCCTTTAATTTTTGCTTTTTTTTATAATGTTTGCTTTGTAAGATTCAAAATTAGAAACACCTTTTTTTCTCTTTTTTTCACTTTCTACACTACTGTCAGGATCAGACATAATAATGTAGGTAATAAGAAATATTCACAATTTATTCACAATATTAATATTATAGAAAAAAAGAACTCAAACAGTAAAGTTTGTAAACAGACGTTCATACATTATAATGCCATAGTAATAGTAGAATGAAAAAACATCAGCACTTGCCGCGTGGTTTTATGTAATGAATAATAAAAATATTTCTAAATATGTACGTGAAATACGTTATAATATGATAATAATGATACGTTGTTAGAATGCTATTAATCAGCTGCATGTTCTTAAGTTCTTTATTTTTATCACTACGTTATGATTTCGATAAGGTAACATATCCAGTAAATGTTCCCTTTTCGAAATAAACGAAAAGTTGACCCACCAGCTGTTACTACAAAAATACGCGGATATATTTCGTTTTCACACCAAATAATGAGTATCTGAAAATGTCAAAATATTGGACATGTTCCCTTTTCCAAATAACCGATTCAATTATTATAATAAAATCTTATATCTTTTCACTTAAATGTTCTAGGTTAAAAGATTGGTAGATATCACGAATGTGTCAAGAGAGATTGAATAGTTTAGCTTTACTTCATGTTCAACGGGAAAAATAATTATCTATAACATCATTGAATGGTTTTCAAAAGTCAAAAAAGATATTTAGAATCAGTTCTTTAATATAATCTTTTTTTTTTAAATAAACAGTTAATTGTTGTTAGTTGTTATTACTTGTACATTTATATATATGTATAATGTATGTGTGTGTATAATTAAGTCTTAATAATGAAACCAAGTGTCTATAATAATTAGTTTAATTTAACCATGGAATCTCAATTCGCCTCCTCCCTTAATGAGTGATAAAACCCGTCCCTGTTAGACATTACAGAGTTACGATAAAACGTTAAAAAAATATGAAGGGGTGACCATTTGGTGACTTAAGAACTTTTCAAAATTTGTAGGATTAGTGTAAATATATATATATATATATATATATATATATTATAATCAGGGCTCGAGACTTCTAGCATTTGCATATTTATTTAAAGGATGTTAAAATATAGCAGAGCAAGCTACAAATCCGTTTCATAGTAAAAGGAATGCAGCTTTAAAAGTTTTTGGGTAAAGGGTTTTTGGATATTTTCTACTATTTTTTAAAGTATCAAGCTATTTTTTGCATATAATTTGTTAATCAAAAAAAAAAATTAAGTAGTTTTGTGAGTTTTGTGAACGCCAAGTGGTAAATTTCTATTTTACAAAAGTAAAATGTAAAAACGTATAAAGCCGCGTTTATATTAAAACTGTTCAATGTGAACGCCGATTCGGCCTAAAAACTATTTCGTTCAATCATTCACTTTTATAAAGTAAATGCGGCTTTTTTTTTAATTACTTGACGCTGACGATGCAGTCAGCATTAAAGAAGCGACAAAATGTGTCAATAAAAACGGAATAGATGAAGATCTTATTTTCATCAAATCAAATTCTTTGTCTCATACTACATCTTTAAAAAAATTACAAACACATGGGTTGTTATTATCTGACTATATTGAAATAATTAAGAAAAATGTAGAAGAATGTAGAAAAATCTTTTGAAACTCTACGAGGTCCAATTGGATTGAAAATACAGTTAAAATTAAAACAAATTTTAGAAAAAAATACTGGTCTATCACTTTTGAAAAAAATGTCTCACATTTTATTGGGTATAAGAGACATTGAAGAATTAGATAGTTTTCCAGATGATGTAATACTTGTAGTGATGTTCCATTCTTCAAGTTCGCCACTATCACTATCGGTCAATGTAGAACGTTCATTTTCAAAGTACAAAACATTTCTAACCAATAATAGAAGATCGTTTAAATTTTAAAATATTTACAAACACGTGATAATACAGTGCAATTTTCAAGGTAAAAACCAAAATTTAAAATTTGTTATTTATAAATTGTAATATTTACTTACTTACTGATTTATTGAACTTTATCAATTATTTTTATAGAATGAAGAAATAATACGTATGTACAATGGTCGACAAAAAGAAGAACACTCGTGAATGTTTTTTAAAATTGGATTATATAAAAATAAATATTTTCAGAATTAAAATTAATTAAAATAAATGTTTTTAGATTTCTTTAGAGCATATTTAATTTTTTTATTGAACATAATATAGTGCATATTTTACTATTTTTTAAGGCATATTATAGCTCATATTTCATGGTTTTTTTAGTGCTAAAAGTCTCGAGCCCTGATTATAATATTAATATAAATACCAAGTATATAAAATGACAAGTTTGGTTTTAATTTTAATTTTTGTTTTTAGCCATTATGATTTTTACTTGTACTGTATAGTTGTTATACCGGCGCAATAGACGTACACCTTTTAAATATACCCGTTTTACACCGGCGCAATTGATGTATACTAAACAGGTAGTGTCCCGAATGCGGCGCAATTGACGAATACCATTTCTTTTAGCATCGGATGAGTTGTGGTTAAATGTCGGTCTAGTCGACTTGATCGAAGAGCATCGTTACTTAAAACAACGTGACCAAATAACACACTGTGTCGTTTTTAATGAACGTCAAATCAAACTTTATATATACAATCATATTTTCTGTGGAGCCATTATTTTTACATGCGTACACTCGCGAGGTACGACAATACGTGCACTATGCAACTGCAAAACGAAACTAAATCGCGTTAATCGAATAGCTAAAGTCTGGATTTATATGCATTTAAAAATTATCAAATATGATGCAAATATGCAAAGAAAAAGTGGCTAAATATGCAATTATATGCATTATGTTACACTACATAAAATGTGTTTTTTTTTAAAAAACCACATTTTTATACCAAATAAAATTTTAATTATTTTATCAAAAACAAAAAAATTATAATATACACTGTTTTATATTTTAAATCATTTAAATCAATCTAAAACTTTAAGGAAACTTAAAAACGAGAATACAAATAAAAGAAAAAAAAGTAAAAATAAATATCTTAGATCATTTGAAGTTACCTACACTCAAAAAACTAATACAAAACTTTAAAAAAATACAAATCTTTTAAAATAATATTTTTGAAACTTAAATATACCTATCGTGTATATTCGTGCTCTATTCGAGGCGATTACATAATTTACTGTAAATTAAAATAGTTTATTTATTAAAAACCCGTTAAATATGTATGTTATATCGCTGATTATAGAATAGATCTATTATATAATCAAAGGTTATATGAGTTTATGAACAAATATATAATATAAAACTTGGGGTTTAAATTCGGTGTGATATGAATCATGGACATTTTAAACCTCCATAGACGTGCATACACTTAGTACAAACATGCAAATGTACATAAATCTGGGCTCTACTAATAGCTTTTACTTCCGACATCCTTTTATCTTACCAATTAATTTACAGATAAGGTGACAAAAAACGATTAGGTTGACGTTGCGGCCAAACACGAAGTTTTTATCGATTATCCGTTATTGATACCCGATAACGGATAAAGAGAACCGGCAATAATTTTTTTTCTCCAAGTTTTAAAATATAATGAGTTAAAAAAAAAAATCAATAAAAATTGTATTTCGTAATAACTGCTTGCTCCTTCCCGGCAGTGTACACGCCCCCCAATTTGGGAACCAGTGATTTAGAACGTTTGGAATCATTTAGGTTTTTATCAGATGAAAAATATAAAATTTCTTTAAAAATATGTAGGTATTTACAATATTATCCGTTCCCAGATCATCATTAATTTGAGATATTAGATTCCGGCTCACGGATTCCTATAACTCGATAATACAACGATTTTTCATAATTAAAAAAAAAATCATCCGGCATATGTTCTGAAATTTTATACTACAATACCGTATTGAAAATTCGAAAGTATTTATTCCGAAATGTAACTAAAATTACTATCGTATCGTACAAGAGGAAACTACGTGTTTTTTGGTGTCTCATGAGTCATCGCCCATTAGATAATTTTTAATCAGATGGAATATTTAACTTTCGACCAACGCTTGACTATTGCATTTTCTGTTATATTTTTATCGTAAATAATTATTAATAACTCAATAATTTGCCCGTATTTTTAGCGATTTCGATTCGAAACATTGTTAAAACCGGTATAATCAATTAAATACAATATTTGGGTACAGATAGAACGGTGAAAAAATGTTTAACGACAGGATGATGGACATAGTGAAAGGGTTGCAATTGAATAAAATTAGATACGTACCAAGTCCACGGAAAGATAAAATTATCCGTCGGGGAAAAAAAAATAATAAAAATTGTTTATTTTTAGCCGAATCGGAGAACACAATATACTTACGGTTTCGGGGCGATAACTATGCAGGAATTTCTGATTTTTTTTTCTTTCCCGGTTCCCGTCGTTATAATATTACACAGACGGATTTAAAATGTGACCGAACACCGTCGAAGAATCTATTCGGACGAAAAATCCCTCGCATTGCCAGACATTTTCGACGCTGACGTTTGGTCCGTCTGATCTATGCACCGGCTTTCGGCAAAAAGACCGTTCCTGAAGGAAAAATTAAACCTAGATGACTATTGTCCGATGAAATCTCAGGGATCCAGTGTGACCATTACCACGGATGCGTCAACGTTAAAAAGTCAAAACCAACCGAATTTACAATGGTAGTTGAAACTTGTAACTGATTTGATAGGTCGTCCGAATCGGATCTACCAAAACCATCTCATTCTTCGTGGTCAATACTTTAATTCAAAACCGTTATCGGATTCATAACGTTTTACTGGAGCCGATCACACTTCCATGCTTCTCTGTCACAGCCGTAAATAGAGCGGTTTAGCTTTCGAACACCGAATATCACGCCAAGCACCCGTCACCCAAATTAAATATTGTATTCGAACCTTTCGTCGTTTATTATATTAACTACATGTACGCGGTATGCACAATCTTGCAACATTACGTTGTATTCTATTGTTATTATTCCGTTTTTCAATTTTGATCGGGACTGAACTTCTAGAATTTGTACCCGTGCCGCGTCTTATTATCATTAAATTATTCGTGTAACGATCAATGTACTTTGGATGACAAATGTAATGTACTCGGTCCAAGTATTAGACACAATGAAAATAATATTCTCAACTATTTTCTTAACCAACATTAATGTAAAATTAAAAGTAATTTAAATGTACATGATCATTTTTACAATCATAAGTTAATTATACCACAGGAAGATAAAACTGTTGTAGAAGCTCATTTGTATTTTTCAATTGGTTACATAATATAATTTAAAATTTTTGGAATCACAAATATATTTTGTTGTCACATTTGAAACAACTGAATATAAAAATAAAAGATTCACAAGAAAGTTACATTATACAATATTGCTATCAAAATAGCACATAATTTATTTATTATAATATGCATTTTAGCAGTCAATACACATTATCATTTGTAGTTAAACAAATGTAGTAGGTAAAAAAAATAAATAAATTTTCCTAAATTGTAGGACTATCCTAATTTAAAATAATAAATATTAAAAAAATCTTATTGTGTAAAATAATTATAACCTCTTAAACGTATACATTTATAATATATATATATATATATATATATATATATATATGTATATATACAATTTAATATTTCTTTAATCTAATCATTTTTATTGTATATACACATTTATTTATAAAGAAAATATAAATATAATCATACAAACTTTGAAAAGTGTACATTTATCATGGTTAAAAGATACATGCGTGGTTAACGAGTCTATAAATTTCATCAGATATTATACTGAATGACTCTAATATTATTAAATTAATGAGCAAAACAGTATATATTATTATAAACAATTTATGAATTATGTGTATAACCTTAGTATTTTTAAATATTAAATGTATGAATACTAAGTTTTGTTTTTATGTATATTATTTTCTTTAATCTGTGTTTTTCAATAAGAAAAACTATCAAAATAAAAATGAAAAATACAAAAATAAGAATTTGTAAGCAAATCATCAAAAATAAATTAGATAATATTATTATAGCATATTTTTTAAGCTAGTTTTTAAATCAAAGAATATATAAATTTGTTAAAACTTATTTGATATAATAAGCAAATCAAATATTTTTTGTAAAGTTTTTTCAGTAATTGAAAATAAACATAAAATATGAAGAAATTAACAAAAAATTATAATTCTATAACAAAATAAAAAATTTAATGATGAAAAATGCCTAAATAATGTTCATTATTAATTTAAATCTGTTATGACTATATACAATAGACATCACCATAATATTATGTTTTAATTTTATTGGTAACAATTTATTAGTATAAGAATATTTTAAAGAGAACAATTTGGTAACACAAGGGTTTGTCTCCTAGACAATTTCACACAACTAAGGTATTACGGACTAAATCTGTTTTGCCATCAACAAAAATAATTAAATTATCCATTCCAAAAGTTAAAATTTATCACATTCACCACTTTTATGTCCTAACCATAATTGACAAGTATCCACACATTTACTTTTTTATAAATATGGCTACTGAACAACAGCAATAGGTGCAGCAGTTGTAAGATTTGCAGATGGAGGCTTAAAATCTGACGAATTGTTGACTGCTGGTGGTGGACCTTTAAACTCTGGTGGAGGAGGTGGAGGAACATGATTAACTGGTGTAGAAGACACAAAACTTTGTTGAGGGTGATGATGGTTAACAAAAGGTGATGGCATTCCATAACACTGTGGAAAGTACAACTCTGGTTTGACAATGCCTGATGGTTGATTGAGTATAGTATTTAAATGTGGTGGCCTGCCAGGTTTACCACTATCTGATCTACGTTTATTAGCATGTGGATTCATATGGTTATCAATGTGACGTTTGACTTCTTGTTCTGTACCAAATCTACGGCGACAATTTGGCATTGGGCAGCAAAATGGTCTTTCTCCTTGATGAGTTCTCGTGTGTTGGTCAAGTATAGCTTTTTGCCTAAAATCTTTTCCACATTGCAAACATTTATATGGTTTCTCACCAGTATGAATACGTAAGTGTTGATTTAATATAGTCCGTTGTCGGAAATTTCGTCCACAATAAATGCATGTGAATGGTTTTTCATTTGTATGTATACGTAGATGTTGAGTTAGATGTGACTGTTGTCGAAATCGTTTGCCACATTCTACACAAGGATATGGTCGAGATTCTATATGAATGCAACCGTGCTGAAGTAAAGTAGATTTCTGCTTGAATTCTTTATTACATATTGGGCAACGAACATAAAGTGGCATGCCAGCACTACGACCATGCTGAATTACATCAGGTAAACTTTTACCAGCCTGGCCAAAAATTTCATGAACTACACCTGAAGGAGAATAAAACCATTAATTTATAAATATTAAAGGTAATTCATAATCATTACCTTTGGCATCTTTAAAATATGCAGGGAACTGAGGAGCGTTTTCTGGAGAAAAACATGGATCGTTTGTATCATATTGACTACTTTTAGACTGCGGTAATGGCACATCTTGTGGCCAGAGTTGTCCGTTTTTATACACTAAGTGTGGACCCACATCTGGAAAATATGAAAATAAGAATTTTAGTTTCCTTTTATACGTATTCATAATTCTATACAGTTTAGTAATAAAATAATAGGTTGAGAAAAAAAATGATCATGTCCACGCTTAGCCGGTTAAAATATAATTTAAGGATTATAAAAATGTGAATAATGTAAAATAATAAAATCAAAAAATTTAAGAAAAATGAGATTGTCGAACACAAAGTGGTATTCAAAAAATATCAAATTATAATATAATATTATAATTATTTAATATTATGGATGTGTAAGTTAATTTATTTCATGCATGTATAATATACAACATGGGTATATGTAGTTTTAAGTTCACTTATGAACATTGGAAAATAATCTATTGATAAAAAAATGTAGTATACTTTTAAAACTTAATTAAATTAAAAATATATTAGAATAATATTTTATATTTGTTTATTATAAAAGCTTAACTTTGTTGACTCCTGTGTTGCTGAATGGAGCTTTATCTCACCTTCCTTAAGCGGAGCGACATTTTCTCCTTGGATGTTGTCAACAATAATCCATGAGCTGCATAAATAATTCTAAAGAACATGCCGCTCCAAGCCAGATAGAAGCCACCAGACAGACAACACAATAATACCTTTAAAACTCATTACTCCGATACATACATTTTATATATTATAAAGCATTGTTTTTTTGTTATGCTCGACATTAATAATTAGGAAAAATATTTAGGATGTTATTATTTTAATTTGGCTTTCAGCTTGAAAAAACTGTATATTTTAAGAGGAATAGCACAATAGGAATTATACCTAAAAACAATATAATAAAATAAACAAAAATAAATAAAACAAAAATTATTATTAAGTTAATTAATGATAAATAACTAATTCCTTTGATTAAATAAATATATTTTAACAATAATGCTAATACTAACAATAAAAAGGAAAATAAATTTTAACTGAAAATAAAATATATTCAAGCCTATTGTTATTATTTTTCACGTTTTATTTCATTTCATTTAAATTGTTTAATTGTACAAAATAATTAATTCTCAATAGACAATCTAAATAATACTGATATTAATAATTTTTAAAATAATCAATGCCAATTATATATTTACAAGAAAAATGTAAGGTTACAAATTATATTATACTTAATAATGTTAAAAAAAAAAAAAAAAAAATTATAATAATATGAAAGTTTTTAAAGGATGTTTGATCAAGTTAACTTAACATTTAATTCTTAAAGATCAGGCGTGGTTTAAAATATCACTCCATTATTTAAAAAGCAAAACATAAACATCTCATTAATTGAAAAACTAAAATGTTAATGCGTTGAAATAGTGACAATAGGCAGTTAAATGTGTATTAGTAAACAGCAATTAAAATAAATAGCATAATATTTTATCATACGGATGCAGAGAAATTTTTTTGCAAGCCATCCTGAAAACAGTACCTAATTTAGGATATTTTTCATGTACCATGCCTGACCTAACATGGGTCAGAATTTATTTTTTGTCAACTTCAGTTACAACTCTCATAGGGAGACCTTCTTCATTTCTAATATGAGCTTCATTTGTCCTAACAATGGTTCTAGAAAATGATCTCGTAGGTATGTCCAGCAAGTTTAAAGAAGTTTTGGGACTATTAAATGAAGAATTATAGATAGTGGAATTTAATTGTTTAGCTTTGAAATTATTTTGTAACAATCTCGAAGCGACATTTCTAAATTCTGAGTTGGTCAAGTGTTGTTCGTCTTGTGCGCTATCGCTTAAATTCGGGTAGTATTTCATTCTAAACGCTTCAGCCGAGGACTTGAAAAAAGCGTTTAAATTAGTGTGAAGTTGAGAGGGCGGAGGTGAGCTTGAGGAATCGCTACTATTTAACGAGGAATGAGAGTGCTCGCCTTGGTGAGTGCGGATGTGCTGGTTCAGGATGGCTTTCTGCCGGAACGCCTTGCCGCAATCTCCACACCCGTACGGTTTCTCACCCGAATGAATCCGTAGATGCTGGTTAAGGATGGCCCGCTGTCTGAAGGTTCGTTCACAGTAGATACATACAAATGGTTTTTCATTAGCGTGTATACGCACATGTTGTGTTAAATGAGACTGTTGACGAAATCGTTTACCACAATCACTGCACACAAATGGCCTAGAGTCGGTATGTATTCGTTCATGTTGCATAAGTGTAGCTTTTTGTTTAAAGTCTTTGCCACATGAAAGACACTTAAAAAGTCGTAGATCTGAACCTTTTTTTCCAGATGCATCTTGTTGTTGGTGAATAAGATCCGGCATATTAGGAAAATCACCAGATGCTTCTGCTGGATTTAAAGGAGTTAACATAACACCAGGCTGTTTTAAGTATGACATAAAACTTGAAGGACTCAGCATATGAGGAGGTCCACCTCTTACACCAGAGTAGTAATTGGATGGATCGCCCGGACCATATTGGCCTGGCTGGGTACGGTCTGATTCAACAACACTATCATCTGGTGGTGTTTCTTCTTCACCACCATTTCCAGAACCTAATTTAAGACAGTTAAAGATGGTTTAACATATACTTTATTGATTAAAATGTACATACCTTGAATTGAATGGTTGGTATTAGGATAGGGCGATGGTAAAGGTGATGCAATTGTTGATTGAGAAGCCTGTTCAGTCGATTGTTCTGTAGGTTCATGTTGACTTGATACAAGAGATGGGTAACCATTTTGAGAAGGCCCTGGTCCCCATTGACCATTACTGCCATTTGGCCCTTGTTGGTGGTGGCCATCCTTGTTGTATATAACATATGGAGCACCGTTCTCTGTAAAAATAAATTCTTTCATTCAAATACACGTACGCATATCAATAACTAGATCATAATTAGTTACGCTGAACCTTCAAACTCAATTGTTATATACCTTCATCAGGTTTGGGTGTTTCCTGCGAGTTGATGATCATTGGTCATATACATTAAATTTATAAACTAATATTGAATAATAAGATGTACAGGGTACAAGGAATTTAAAATTAATTTAAATTAAACGAACGTAAAAAAAAAAAAAAAAAAGGAAACGTGCGAAAAGGAAAATACTAAATAACTGATAAAAAGCACATTTTTTTATCACAAAATATTGGATTTTTTTTTTCTTATATTTTCCTTTTTTTTTTTTGTTCTACGTAGTTATGTAACAACGTTGCCATTTAAACATATGATCATAACTTTAATACCTTAGATGGCAGCACTTGTGAGCTACCAGTCGTATAAGAAGTAAAATAATTTAAAATAATGCCGCTTGTTTTTTTTACGTTACCTAATTAATACTAATTAACTATTTCTACTATAATACCAGTGTTCATGAAAAATACTAATTAAAATCAATAATAATGTTATATCAAAAGTATTAGGTATATTATAAAATTTGGGCATGTAATATTCTATTTCAACAATTTTATAGATACCTAATATTAATATTTAATCAAAAACTTTCTAATCTTGAATTACAATTAAATGTTTTAAGGTATGCATACACGAGCATGTGAGCATACGTAAGCATTCGTATGAATTTTGTTTGTTCGTGTGTACAAAATGTGCGACGTATACCATGCGAACAATATTTACCCATTCGCACCTATTCCCGCTTTCCTGCTATCAGTTATTTTTTAGTAGCCGATAATTTTTTAAATTTATATTGAGTGGAGTGAATTAAATACCTATGCTAAATTACATTAAAAGTCAAATTAAAATATCTTTAATTGATTTAATTTAACAAAAGTTTAAAGTTGTAATAAATAATGAATGACCAGCTTCAAGTGTGTGCTGCAGCTTTTATAGTAATGCATGAATTGATTAAAAAAAAAAAATAAAAAGACTCGACGTGATCGCCGCTGGTGGATTTTAAAAATGTACAAGAACAATTCAGATAGTGGATTAAATTTGCTGAATGATATGCAGGGGCGGCTCCAGAGCTTTGATTAGGGGGAGAGGATTAAAGTTATAATTTTACAAAATCTTATAACAAAGAAAAACAAATTTTTTTCACTTTTATAATACAAACAGGATGTGCAGCTCTAATATTTCCTTAGTTCTGCTTTATGATATATATTAATTAGACATAATGTTAATAGTCTATCTTCAGTCATCATTGAACGAAGCCAAGTTTTTAGTCTCCGAAGTGTGGAGAAACTCCTTTCAACCGTCATACCTCTATGGCTCTATCTACATACTTGTGCGTGTCGTATTATAGTACATATTATAATAAGCATTTTTTATTAATAATATACATTTTTATAAATACAATACGGGCTTGGGAGGGGGCCGCGGTCCCTACACGGCCCCCCTATGTAGCCGCCCCTGATGGTATGTAGTTTGATGAAAATATTTAGCATTTTTAAAATTTCACTCATATGTCTTCTGAATATTCTGTCTGATATTCTTCGATCAATTCAAAACATAATTTGCTACCCCAGTCCATTTTTTTCAAAGAAAAATGTACTTAACTAACCAAAATAGTCTTATAGCTTTATTTGAATGAAATAATAAATATTTATTCTCAATGGCATACGACGCACAACACAAAACGAAAATAACCGTCCACATGATAACTCGAATGCGCGCGATGTTTCTTTGAGCAAAGCTAAAATACCGACAGTGATCGGCTTGCCATACGGTCTATTCGACGAACGTTGACGAAAGGATCCGAATGCTCACGCACACGTCTACACGCTCGCACAATGGGTCGCATGCAAACATACGTGAGTATTCGTCACTTTTGTCCAGTCATGTATACGCGCCTTTATATTTCCTTTATTTAACCGTTTAAAATAATTCCTACATAAAGCATAAAGTTGTAATTGTTTTCGATCCTTTTTTATCAATAATAAGTCTGTTTACCTCATTAAAATAACAACGGAAATAATTGTAATACGTATACTATATACCTATACAATAAATTTAACCCACATACGTTTTTTTATTTACCAACACTTACAAATCTATTATCAATAAAATATTGAATGTACCGATAAATATATATATATATATAATTTCAGTTATGTAACTATAGAACTGATATATAAATGCTTCAAAATCATTAAAATATAAAAATAAATCATTTACTGCATTACCCCTTTTCATACTATTTTAAACCGTCATGTCTCCTCACTATAATAATGTTTAATTATATTTAATATATATATATTTTCAACCTTAAGGTTAGTTTTGCAGTCAGACACGCGCTCTTAACTCTTCCCGGTGTCCAGCTAACCTCTTTAGTTCCATCTAGCTTGATAGTGCCGCATCGGAGATCATTTACTCTACAGTTGAAGTTCTCGGATGTCTTTGGTCTCTCTTACCATCAATTTTCCCTTCAATTAATCTATAAACTGGGTAATTTTTGTGCCTTAATATGTGACCAATCATGTTCCATCGACTTAGATGGTTTTGAGTTCATTCTCTGCGTTAATTTCTTTCACAAATTATGCTTTCTTTAGTTCTATCCAAATCACCCGCAGCATTTTTCCCCAACACCACATTTCAAAGCATTCGATGATTCGTTGTTGTGCCTTATTTAGTATTTAGGTTTTGCAGCCATATAACGTTGCATTCCATACATATAATTTTATGAAGGATTTCGTCACCCGAATACTCATACTACCTATTGCAGCAAAAAAATGTTTTTCTTATTCATGAAAGCTAACTTTGCTTGTGCAGTCCGGATCTTATTTCCAAGACGCAGCCACCTTGATTAATTAAACTGCCTAAGTATTTAAAATGTTCCACTTTTTCAAGCAGATTTCCTGCTTGATTATTAATTCTACAGATTCGGTATAATTGTTAGTAATCTAAATCGTACCTTAATTGTTGGCTATTAGATAATTATAATAATATTAAAATAAATTAAATTGTTTTTAACATTAATTGTTAAGACATTTTTTTATTATTAATACAAATTATATTATATTCACTTTCTTAAATATAAAATTTAAAATGTAGGTATATTATTAAATACCTAGATAAAAATTAATAAGAGGATTGGCACTGCTTAATTCCAATTAATTGTGATTTAATAATGTCATGATTAAATATAAATAATCAAATTAACATTTTCGTGTTTCATTGCTTTTTAAAATGTTTACACCTCCCCTGACATTTTATCACGCCTCCCTAGGAAGGCACGCCCCCTAGGTTGAGAACTACTGTTCTAAACAAATAAGATACAATTTATGAGAATAGTTTCACCATATTATGTAACATATATTCAATAAGTCAACGATGGAGACAAATGGTACATAGTACAACTTTTTTATAGGAAGTAAAAGTTGTAATTTTGATATTAAATAGACTATTCTTCTTACTTTTAAAAAAGTGGTCTAAAATATTGTATTTTAATGAAAAATACAATCGTATTATAAAAGTATTATAATATTTTATTTTTAAATATAGAAGATACTTCGAATTCAAATAATTTTTTTGGTTTACTGTCGTATTAATTTTCCGATATTTTCATAAATATTTGCATAAAATTCAACAATCAATAATGTTTCACTGTAGATCTAACTTTTCTTTATGAGACATGAGCTTTCATAATTAAATTTCAATGATTATTTGAATCAAATGCCGATTTTGTTTGCGATGCATCATTAAATTCTCGGATACTCATCAAATAACTAGTGACCGGAGGAATAACATAATCAGAACTGACTAACAAAGGACTAATCGACTATACCACAGATTTAGTTAAACTATTTAAAAAAAAAACTGTCCAGATAAAAATAATGTACATGTTAATTGTTATTGTTAACATTGTTATAGTGTAGAACAATAAATACATAGATTAGTCAAAATTAATTATAATCTTTCAGTTTTATAATTTATAAATTTATAGTTTGTAGTTTAAAAATACAGCGTTCTTAAAGTTTTATAGAATATTTTGCATCTGTGCAGGTAGCCACAGAGTTATACCACAGGGTATACCTACAATACTTTTGAGCCCTATCTTAATAATGCTTGTATGTATATTTAATATTTATTTAATATTGTGGTATGAGTCACAATGAATATGTTTTCCTCGAGTCTCATATATTTTCTTCAATTATTTATGATTTGTACTTATGCAATTAATTATGGCTGTCATATTATCATAATAAGTTTTTGCACGAAAATGTAAACATTTTGTTTTTTTTTTTTATTACGAAATATCATTTATTTTTTACCAAATATTTTAGAATAAAATTCGTTTAATTTCAGCAGAAGCAGTTAAAATACAGGCTCATTAATCTTAAATTAAAGGCCCCATTTAAAACATTTCGAAAGGTCCCCGGCCATACACGGCACCCTCCATGCGCACGCCTATGTCACCAATATATAAAATAATTAGAAAATAATTAGTAAGGAGTTTTTGTAAATATCATCATGATGATTATTGTTGAGAATTACAATTGATAAAAGTTTAAGATAAAAACGTTGTATTAATCATCAAGGTATATTTTCGTAATTCGTAAAATTCGTAATAAGTACTGATTGTATTAATTGTATTAATTAGTATTGTATTGTATTTGTCGTAATTCCGGATCCACAAGCGTACAATCAATGACTTCATTGAATTTTTACCACAGTTATACTGACCAACAAAGAGCAGTTCCTGTCCTATAAAGGCAGATGTTTTCGTGATTTTAAATGTCAAAATGTTATTTTTTTGAAACAATGTGACTAGTTTGTAGTTTACTTTTATGATGAATAATTTATTATATTTTACAGTTTATATTATACTATAAGTATTATTTAATCATTATTTAGACTTATATACCAATAAACTGAATAGG